GGGACTGCAAGTGGAAAAAGACTTCAGAGCCGAAGGTTTCAAGTACCACATGGTGGCGCTCGCGGAGACCCACATCGACGCAGAGCTGGACTAGGTCGGCAAGCTCACCAAGGAAGGCTGGAAGCTGGCCCCCACACAGACACCACCCACCAGCACATCGGACAAGGGCACGCAGGGCGGCGAATGGATCCTCATGCGCAGGGACATCGCCGCCAGATCTCTCGAAGCTTACAACGACTTCTAGAAGTACAGCAGGCAACCCTTCGTGGGATTCTCCCGCAGCATCCTCCACACCAGCATGGACAACATCGTGGCGGTCGCGGCCTGTCTCCGCCCATGGGCTCCGAGATCGGGGCGCCGACCGCGACGTCCTGGTCCACATCTCCACATGCGTGGACATGCTCCACTGCTCCACAGACCGTAGGTCATCCTTGAAGGGGCCCTGGGACACACAGATTAATACACACAAATAAACATAGTTTCCAATGTTTTCCCATATTTTCTGGGTTTCTGTCTTCCCCCCCAATTCCCATACTTTCCCATATTTTCTTGGGAATCGACGATTAATTGTGTCTGTGTGTTTATTCCCCTCCTGAATCCTAGCGGACTGGAGCTACGAGCCAGACTGGTGTCAAGGCAAACCGTGGCTTGGCAGGCAGGGCAGCGTCCCAGTCACCGCCCCCGGTTGCATCGCCGCCTGCGACAAGGGCGAGGGCTCCACGTGCGACCATGCCATCGTGCTCCGCGACTTCGCCGCCTCCACCAAGCTGGAGGCGGTCTACGATGTCCCGTGGCAGGCACACTGCGGCATCCGGATCACGGCAGGCTCGGTGGAGCCTTGGCAGTGCAAAGCTGATGTCGGGCCTGTCCCCCTACAGGGGATTTTCGACGAAAAATTAAAACGTACCCAACAAATACCCCAAAAAGGTCAAACAATACTCAACAAATAGTCCCCAGACTATTTTTGAACTATTTTGGGGGGTATTTTTTTCTTCCGTCGAAAATCCCCCTGTGGGGGGGCAGGCCCGACTTAATGCAGAGCCATCTCAGGCCCCCGAGGCCTCGCCGGCGCGTGCGAGGCCGAAGGACGCCGCCCCCAGCAGCGAGCGGCCAGAGGCCAGGGCCCGAGCCCTGCGCGCACGGGGCGCGAAGGACTGCCCCGAGCACCCCGAGGACGAGCTCGGCCAGCTCGGCGTCGAACAGAACACCACCACCGTGGAGGACGACGCCCCGTCCATTAGGGGGCCACGTGCGAGGAGGAGGAGGAGAAGGAGGAGGAGGAGGAGGAGGAGGAGGGGAGGGGGGAGCGCCGGGCCCAGACCCCCGACACCGAGATATGTTTTCTCGCGGCGCGAGCGCGCCTGGGAAGGCTCTCGGAGCCCGCCGCCCACGGGCGTCGCCAGCGCCAGGGGGCCACAGGCGAACCCTACCCCTACCCCCCACGATTTCTGAGGGGGAGGGTGGGGTTCACTTCGCTCGGGGGCTCCCGAGCGAAGGGAGCCCCACCCTCCCCCTCAGAGATCGTGGGGGGTAGGGGGTAGGGTTCGCACGTGGCCCCCTGTCCATGGTGGCGGACTCCGCGTGGTCCTCCCCCCTCACCCTCCTGCTGCCTCATGCCCTCCCAGGCCTGACCAGGGAGACGTAGAGGTTGGGCAGGGGCGGAGGCGGGGCTGGGAGAAGAGTCGGTCTGAGCGGCTCCTGGAAGAAGGACACGCGAGCATCCAGCTGGGCTCCGTCCCAAGCCCCACCCTGGGAGAGCCCCCCCTCGACGAACCCCCGATCCGAGCCCCCTGCACACCGCACCGCATCGCCGGCGCGGTGCGATCCAGCTCTGCCGCAGGCACCGCGGGCTCGTCATCCCTCGCGCCCGCCGGCCCGCAGACTGGAGTCGGCGCCCGCGCGCTGCTGCGAGGCCCGCGCACTGCAGGCCAAGCGGCCGTCCGCGCGCGGCCGCGCGCGCGCGCGCGCCGCGGGGGTCCGCTCAGGCGGGCCTCCCGTCGCCTGGCAGCTCCTTAGCCAAAGAGCCCTGCCGTCGCTCGGACGTCCATTCCCCGTGCATTTTTCGGTCTCGTGCGTGTTATGCGAGATGCGGAACGGCGCGGCGGCGTCGGCGCGGCGGGCGGCCGAGCTGGGCGCGCCGTCGGGGCGGCGGCGGCGGCGTGCCGAGGGCGGCGGCACCTCGCAGTCACCAGTCCTCCTCCCCCTCCTCCTCCTCCTCCTCCTCCTCCTCCTCCTCCTCCTCTCCTCCTCCTCCTCCTCCTCTCTCCGGAGGGTGCGACCGCCTTCGATGTGCCAGAACAACAAAACAGTTGGCAGGGAACGCGACGGCGCTGCGGCGAGGGCGGCTCCTCGGGCTCCTCCGCCCCCTCCTCCTCCTCCTCCTCCTCCTCCTCCTCCTCCTCCTCCTCCTCCTCCTCCTCCTCAACCTCCTCCTCCGCCTCCTCCCCCCCGCGCCCGCCGCTCCTCAACCTGCCTGCCCAGGCCCTCGGCCGCCTCGCGCGCCGGGCCTGGGAGGGCCAGTCCTCGGCTCCTGGGCCAAGAGGGCTACGGACGAGGGCGAGGAGGACGAGGAGGAGGACGAGGAGGAGGAGGAAGGAGGAGGAGGAGGAGAGGAGGAGGAGAGCGTGCTCGGGAGGAGGAGGGAGGAGGAGGAGGGAGGAGAGGAGGAGAGGAGGAGGAGGAGGAGAGGAGGAGGAGGAGGAGGAGGAGGAGTCGAGCGTGCTCGGGGAGGAGGAGGAGGAGGAGGAGGAGGAGGAGGAGGAGTCGAGCGTGCTCGGGGAGGAGGAGGAGAGGAGGAGGAGGAGGAGGAGCACGAGGAGGAGGAGGAGGAGGAGTCGAGCGCGCTCGGGGAGGAGGAGGAGGAGGAGGAGGAGGAGGAGGAGGGCGAGGAGGACGAGGAGGCGGACGAGAGTGAGCGCTCTCGGCGCCGGCGCGCGCGCGCGGATGCCCCGCGGGCTGGTGCTGTGCGCGCTCCTGGGCGCGCACAGCACCGGCACGTGCCACTACTCGCAAGGTTAACCGCTCGCCAATAGCCTGGATCCGCCATGGGGGACTCACGATGCATGACATCATCGGCGGTGGACAAACCTCCCTTTAGTAGACCTCCCCTCAATGAAAACGGCCTGGGACCGAAACCGACGGACCTGGACCCGCAAAAATGACGGCCGCGACGCCCTCTCGCGAACCGAAAACGGCCAATTCCTTAGTCGACGTGTCAGGGTAGGAGGTCTGTCCACCCCCGACATCACTGCAGACGTGTGCTTTTCGGACGTTTGCGAGTAGGCACTTTGCGAGTAATGGAGCGCGCTCGGTGATTGGCGGCGAGTCCGAACGGCGGCCCCTGTACAGGAAGCCGTGCGAGGTATCGGTGCCGAGTGGAAGAGGGGAAGGGAGAGGAGGGTCAGGCGGAGGCGGAGGACGACGAGGAGGAGAAAGGGGAGGAGGCAGAGGAGGCGAAGAAGGCCGGAGAGGCATGAGAGGCAGGAGGAGAAGGGAGGGTACGGGGAGGAGGGGGAAAGTCGACCACAAGCTGGCAGTCAGATCTTCCAGAAGTAGCCGCGGCGGTAGCACAGCCACGTGCCGATCAAGAAGCAGACCACCTCCGAGGGGAGACAAAGCGCGAGTAGCGCTGCAGATGGCTCTCGACGTGGCAAGAAAGCCCTCTGGAGGCTTGTTCGCAAGTGCCGCAATATGCACTCAGATGACTCATCTGGCACACACTCACTCACTGTCGACGCTCACGAGTGGCCTTGTACACTATTCCCAGGCCAAGCCGCAGAATGATGGCTGACTGCTACCCCGCCATCCCGACTACACTCGAGTTCGATTGGAGGGGAACCGCGAGAAGACACCAGACACTTCCGAGGGCAAAGTGGCGCCCTTGCCCTTGCCCTTGGAATGCAGAGGCTATGAGAGGCGGTACATAGGACACAAGGTAGGTGGCCCATGATTTGGCGGGGTCGACCTACTCAAACTCGACTGCATCTGAGGATCCTGTCGCCGAAACAATTAGCCTGCGCCAAAAGCAGCCCGGAGCTGACCACGAGCCCGCTAAGGTCTCGGCACAGCGTCAAAACGCATGGCCTCGAGAGGCGCGCCCCACTGTCGAAGGCCGCCTGCGGCATTCCCTGGCACAAGGTACCCTGGCCTGCCGCACCCAACTTGCGGGCCCTCTAGACTTCGCGAGGGGTGCTCTGGAGGACACCTGAGCGACGAAACGAAGCGTGCCTTGCAAGTTTGCATAGCGACCTTACGCCGCGGCTCTCGCGGGCCGCTAGCGCAGCACGCCTCATTGGAAGCGAAGGCGCTCACGCGCGACCTCACGCGGGCAGCTTACGCGCCAATGTCGGCGCAGACGACCCCAGCTTTGCGCGTCGCCCACCTGGGCCTCCCTGGAAAAGCTCGGGGCACTGCTACCTGCCCCGGCGCGCGCGCAGGAATACATCGGAATAGAAATACAGGCTCGTAGGGCAAAATCATCGCTAGCGCGCGCAAAAGATGTACTAAAAACTTCCCTGTACCGTCAGGAGCGCTTCACAAGGAACGAAGCCCCACTCTGGCGCCGAAAAAGCGACCGGGCGGACGAAGGAGCACTGGAGGAACAACCCTGAAGGACGCAAGGAACAGCGAGCCCCTTTAAAAAAGAAACTGCCCCGTATGTTAACGTACTGACTGCAAGTTGAACGCCCGAAATGGGTTCGGGAAACAGGGGTGCGATGCCCAACAAAAAACGTTGTCCAAGACCGACAGCGGCCGATGTTGGGCAGGCGGCCTTCTGTTCCAAATGGACAAAGGCCGCGGCGGCGCGGACAGCGAGCCCTGCTCAAAATGAACAGGAGCTGCTGTTGGCCATCGTACCCATTCTTCCCGTACCCGTGTCGTCCGTGCCGATGCAGGGCCAGGGCCACCTCTGACAACACCCCCAGCACAGGCGCGGGCCTGGCAAGCGATCATTTCTTTCCCGCCGAGGCACGCGGCGCAGCCAGAGGCGCGGCGCGCTCTCACGCGCCCAGCCGCCGGCGCCGCTCCAGCTGGATCTCGTTCCGGAGCTGCCTCAGCGCTGGATCGCCGGCATGCACCTTCAGGCCCTCGCTGGCCGCCTCCTCCGCCCGGCCGAGGTCCCCGAGAGCCAGCGCGGCCTTCGCCAGGCGCCAGGAGGCCTTCTTGTGCCCCGCGTCGCCAGCCAGGCCAACCGCCTTCTGAGCGTCCAGCTTGGCCTCCATGAAGCGCTCCAGCTGCAGGTAGCACGCGGAGCGGTTGGCGTACAAGGCAGCGCTGTCTCCGAACGAGAGGGCGATGGAGTACGCCGCGATGGCTTCCTGCCACTGCCCTTTCTTGAAGAACGCGTTGCCCTGCTCCCGCAGCTCCTCCGCCTCCTTGGGCGGCCCGCTGGACGCCGCGGAGGCCGTGTGCTCCGCCAGGATGGAGACGCACTTCGCCTGCGCCTGGCCGTGGTTGTCGGCCCCGTTCCCGCACACCGAGGCCTTCGCGGCCGCCAGCGGCGTGCGCCCCTGCCAGTCCGCCAGGTCCGCGCGCGCCCTGTGCGCCAGCAGCAGCGCCACCACCTCCGCGTGGCGGTAGTAGGCCGCGAGCATCAGCGGAGTCTCGTGGACCTGCGCGGCCATAGCTCCGTTCTGCCTAACTGCTACTCCCACAAGCCCTTCTGGGCGCCAGTGGTTTAGAGCGCTTCCTCTCCCGAGGGAGGAGGAGGAGGAGGAGGAAGAGGAGGACGGGGAGGGGTCTATCCCTCCCCCTACCCCCTCCACCCGGACCTGGACGGGGCGCCCCCCGAGCGGTTGGAGCGTCCAAGACGGTCTCGGCGGACGAAGAGAAATCATTGATTGAATTTAGATGTTGGGCCCACTCTGTCCTCCCGGGGGGGGGGAGGGGCGAATGAAGTACCACCCCTTCTTTGATCGAACTCCTCCAAGATGGCGCCAAATTGGCCCCCAAGGTTCCAGAGTGGGCCCAAGAGGCGCCCAGGAGGCCCCAAGAGGCCCCAAAGAGGTCCCAAAGAGCCTCCCAAGAGATTTCCAAGAGGCCCCAAGAAACTCCACTGAGGCACACAAGACAGACACCCCCGAGACTGCCAAGAGGCCAAGAGGCCCCCTACACGCCCTACGAAACCTCCAAGAAGTTGTCGAGAGACATCCAAAGCGACTCCTCTTCCTCCTCCTCCTCCTCCTCCTCCTCCTCCTCCTCCTCCACCTCCCTCCTCCTCCTCCTCCTCCTCCTCCTCCTCCTCGTCTCCTCCTCCTCCTCTCCTCCTCCTCCTCCTCCTCCTCCTCCTCCGCCCCCTCTCCTCCTCCTCCTCCTCTCTCCTCCTCCTCCTCCTCCTCCTCCTCCTCCTCCTCTTCCTCATCTGCCGCTTCCTCCTCCTCCTCCTCCTCCTCCTCCTCCTCCTCCTCCGCCTCCTCCTCAAGGGCTAGAAGGGCGATGCTGCTGGCGCTCGAGGTTGAACCTTGGGAAGGTGTCAGAGCTCCGCCTGTGCCCAAGGCCCGCAAGCCCACGAAATTCGACCAGATGATCCGCGATAGTGCGCACAAGTTTCGCCCGTTCGCTGGTCGCTGGCGTTGCGTGGTCTGTAAAGTCATTGCTCCGAGGAGCCAAGTCATCGCTGTCGCCTCGACCCAATGTCGCGAGTCGTTCCCGCCGCCGCTGTCGGGTTCCGCTCTCACGCTGGGTCTGATGCCTGAATTTGGAGAAGGTTTTGATGCGATCTCGGGAGATGTGTGGTGTGCCGCCGTGAAGCTTCACCCTAGCCACCGCCTCGCCAGAGTGAAGAAACTCGGCTTGACACTTTGTCAGAGGTGTGGTTTCACTGCCACGACTGACGGTCGCTGGCTTCAGAATCTGTGTGTCCCCCCCCACCAAAAAGGGGGGCGAGAATCTCAGGCGAATTCGGAAGGGTGTTTTTCCGTCGTATCAGGGCCCGCCAGTGGCCTTGCGAAAGGCGGCGGCTCAGGATGCTGTCACGAGGGCCCTCCCGCCACCCCCTCGGGAAGCTGCCGAGGATTGGAGCGGTGCCCCTTTGCGGGAGGACTCTGTGATTGATGAGTATCTGGCTTGCTCCTCTAGCCGCCCCGCTGGAGAGCTCGCCGACCTCATGCTGCTGCACGAGGACCGTGCCCGCGCCCCTTCCGCGGGCGAGGAGGCTGCTGCCGCCTGTGCCGCCGCCGCTGCCAGGGCCCAGGGTCAGAGGCTTACAGGGCTCGCTGGTGCTCCTCTTGTGCAGGGATAGGGTGGCGGCGGTGGCGACAGCGGCGACAGTGATCGAGGTGGCAGCCACGTGTGTGGCATCGCAGCAGAATCCAGCAGAATCCTCCTCCCTCCACCTCCCTCCCCCTCCCCTCCCCATCCTTCCCCTCCTCCTCATCCGATTACTCACAGTTTCGCAGATCGCAGCCCCCCAGGCAAGATGCACCCACAAGAGGTACCGCAGGCAAGATGCACACACGAGAGGTACGCACAAGGCAAGAGGAGACAAAAGGGAGGCGGGAGGAGAAGGACGCGCGAGCAGTGCTCTATTCAAAGCGAATACCCAGCCAAGAGTTTGGAAAAAGAAAAAACTTCCCGACCCCAGAATTTCGAACCTGCCTGCCCTTCCTGCTGGCCAGAACCGGTGCTGGGCCGCCTCAACTTCAGTAGGGGCCCGACCACAAGAAACCTCCTACAAGAAACCCAACCCTGAGACCCCAGGACGTCCATGGTTTTTGGGGTGGGAACGCCACGCTTGCCATCGCAAGACCGTCGAAACCCAAGAAACCCAGGGCACCCTGGAGGCGAGCAGGGTGTTTCTTGGCACGGGCCTTCGCTGTACGGGCCACTTGGGGCTCAGAAGGGGCTCCATTTTCTGGCCGTTCCTCAGACCTGGGTCGGGGAATGCCCATCCGCGGCGGGAGCTCGCAGCGGCCAGGACATCGCCTCCGTTCCTCGCTGTACGTTGCTGACGTTGGAGAGAACGCGCTTCACGGGCGCTTTTGCCATGGGGACCTTCGGCGGCGCGTTTCGAACCTGGGAGGGGGGCCCCCCCCCCAACAGTCGTCGCCGCCGATCAGAACCAGGGGGACTCCCCTCCCCCAACCCCCCTCCCGTACCCAACCCCCCCCCACACACACCGGGAAAGGAATAGGGATTTGAACTCCCCCAATAGTTTCTCTTCCGCTGGCGCCTGCGCTGGGGGCGGCCGGCAGCACCAACGGCAAAACGCAGCGACGATGACCAGAGAGAGCCCCCAGGCCGCAGCAGTAAAATACAAATCGCCATATCGAGCCCTCGCTCCCCAAAAGCCACCAGGGGCCCATAGGAAGTTCCAGGAGACGCCCAAGAGGCGCCCAGGAGCCCTCACACATGCTCCTCAGACGCCCCCGATACCCCTCTGACGACACCCCGAGAGGCATTCATTAGAACTGTGACCCAAAGCCAAGACACGGTGGCGGGAAAACCCTAAGGCCACACCATCACCACCAACCCCACCACCAACACCACAAACCACCACACCACCACCACCACTACCGCCACCTCACCCACCAGCACAACCACCACAACCACCACCACCACAACGAACCACTACACCACCACCATAACCCACCACCACAACCGCCACCACCACCACAAACCACCACCACAACCCATCACAACCCACCACAACCCACCACAACCAGCACAACTACCACCATAACCACTACACCACCACCACCACCACCGCCACAACCCACCACCACCACCACCACAAACCACCAAACCAACACCACCACAACCACCACCGCCACCACCACCACCACCCACGAAGCACCACCACCAGCACCAGCACCAGCATCACCACCACCACCGCCGCCACAAGCCACCACGCCACCACCACCACCACCACCGCCGCCGCCACCACAACCACCACCACCACCACCATAACCCACCACCACCACCACCCAACTACCACCACCACAGCCACCACCGCCACCACCACAACAAATCAACACCACCACCGCAACAACAACCCACCACCACTAATCACTACCACCACCACAACCCACCACCAACACCAACACAAACCACCACACCACCACCACCACCACCACAACCACCACAACCACCGCCACCAAAACAACCACCACCCACCACCAGCACCACCATCAGCACCAGCACCAGCCCTACCACCACCACCACCACAAGCCACAACAAGCCACCACGCCACCACAACCACCACGGCCACCAACACCACCACCACCACCACCACAACCCACCACTGCAACTACCACCACCACCACACCATCACCTCCACCACCACCGCCACCACCACAACCATCACAACCACCACAACCACTACCACCACCACCACCACCGACTACACCACCTCCACCACCACCACCACCTCCACCACCACCGCCACCACCACCGCCACAACCCACCAACACCACCACCTCAGAGAGGCCCCAAGAGACGCCGGCGCCGCCGCCGCAGGCCGCCGCCGACGCCAGCGCCGGCCCGAGGAGAGGGAGAGAGGAGAAGTAAGGGAGGAGGGAGGAGAGGGGGGGAGGGGGGGTGGGGGTTCGAACCCCCACCCCCCCTCGCCCTCTCTCCGTCACGGGGGGGGGGTTCGAACCCCCCCCCTTCAATCCAGGTGGGGGGGGGTCTGGTTCCAAACCCCCCCTCCCCTCCAAGCGCCCACAGAACGCGCTCTTTCTTACGTTAGCACGCTGACTGTACTCGTACCCTCGGGAGGCCTGGCGGGCTGGTAGGGGGAACGCTTAGCGCGCCACACCCAGGCGTCGCGCCCTCTCGTACCACGCTCTCGCATCGCCGTCTCGCACCGCACTCTGCACAGACACATCTCCACCCCCGAGGCCTCCTGGATGGGTGGATGGGGTCAGAGGATTGTGTCGAATCGCCGACGCATCGCCGATCCATCGCCGAGGCATCGGCGATACGTCGGCGACGCATCGGCGACGCATCGGCGAGGTCGGCGTGGAGAAGTCGGGTTCCACATCAAGCCGCATCGCAGATACATCGGCGAGGTCGGCGCGAGACTCCGACCCCATCTGCTCGGACCCCGTCTTAGGGGGCCTACACGCCTGTCGTGTCGACGAGGGCGCCGGTTTTTCTGGCATCTTGCAGATGATGCAACCTTGAATGATCGCTGCTTTCCGATGGCGCCGATCCTAGATCCAAGATCCGCGCGGGCCGTCGAACGTGTGCCGAGCGGGTGGTACTGGGGGGTGATTTTTGTATGAGGGATGAAAGGAAAGGCCCTGAAGAGGCCCTTTAGGGTTAGGGCCCCTTTTGGCCCCCGGCTGGCTCAAAAAGGGCCCCTGCATGGCCCCTTTGGGGTCCTTTTCTTCACCCCCCATTCAGGTCACCCCCCATTACCACCCGCACAAGAGTGTGCTGCGCCGTGATATCCCTCAAGCGAGAGAGGCCCTGGGGCCTTCGTCCGGGAGTTCACCGCCGCCCTCCGCCGGACGAGCGTGGCCACGCCTTCGATGCTCCCGTGCATCGCGGCGTGGTGCAGCAGGGAGAAGCCGTCGGGGTCTATGGCCCGCGCGTCGACCGACGGGGAGAGAGAGGAGGACACGAGGACGCAAACCACAGAGTTAGGTCGGGCATGTCCCCCTACAGGCGGGTGTTGGACGAAACATGAATAGTACTCAAAACATGCCCAAAGACTGTGTTCGAGCATTTCCCCCCGTAGAGAGACGTGCCCGACTTAGCCATCGAGTTGTGGATGCCATGACAATGGACACTCTCACAATCCTACCATTGAATTACAAGCGTGTTTATAAATGTCGGAACCATGTTCCGACTATGTTTCAAACAGGCTTTTTACATGGCGAAAACATGTTCCATCTATGTTCCAACTATGTTTCAAACACATGCTTAAGACATCTGGAAAGTGTTCGGCAACGCGCTTCCTCTCCATGGATTGACCTCCACCACCACGGAGACGCGAGCAGGCCCTCGCCATCGCTCGGACGTCCATTCCCATCGCTGTGTTTTTTTCGGTCTCGTGCGTGGTTTTTTTGCCAGATTAGATGCCTCCTAGATGGGGTCGGAGTCGATGGGGTCGGAGGATCGCGCCGCATCGCCAATGCATCGGCGATGCATCGGCGATGCATCGTCGATGCAACGGCGATGCAACGGCGATACATCGTCGACGTCGGCGATGCATCGGCGACGTCGACGTGGAGCCAAGTCGGGCTCCGCATCGAGCCGCATCGCCGATGCATCGGCGATGCGGCGCGATCATCCGACCCCATCTGCTCCGACCCCATCAGGGAGGCCTAGACAAATGATCAAGGGTGCTCCTCGATGGCCCTCGCCGCAGGAAAAAGGCACACGTCCGAGCGATGCCAAGGGCCACCCGCCAGCGGCTCCGGGCGAGAGGTGTGAGGCCAGCGACCCCGGCCTGGGGGCAGCGGCGGGAGGGGCCCTAACCCGACTCGGGGTCCGGCCCACCTGCGAGGACGAGGCGGACCACCCACCAGACGGAGGGGGAGGGGGAGGGGGAGGAGGGGGAGGAGGAGTAGGAGGAGGAGGAGGAGGCGGAGGCGGAGGAGGAGGAGGAGGAGGAGGAGGAGGACACCCCAGCCCAACCCGAGGGCCCGCACTTCGCCCGAATTCCGGGCTGGGGGGGGGTAAAGTCAACCCGTATAGAAGGGATGCGCGACAAGGATGCAAGGGCCTGGGAAGGCCACGTCGAAACTTTTCGAGCGGGGCGCGGCCAACGAAAGTGGCCAAGAATGAGCCGAGGAGGTAAGAATGCAAGGGTACCCATTGGGAAAACTGGCCATGCTTACTATGCGGGTTGACTGTACGGGCTCCATGTGTGTTTTTGTTCCATGTTTCCCGACCCCGACCCCCCCCCACCCCCACCCTGGAAGTGGAGGGCAGATCGGGGCCTTCGGGTTGGGTTGCGGAGGCCGGTGGGCGGTGAGAGACGGGAAGGAGGAAGGAGACGGGCGAGCGGGGGGACGGACCATCACGAACGGCGAACATGTCCATACCCACGCCCTCACTGTCTGGACTCTGGTGGGGGGGCCCGTGATGCGTTCCGAGCGGGCCCTCCGCGAGAAAACGCCCCCTCGTTCATGGGGTCGCAGCCCAGGGGCCCGGGCCCGCGAGGCCGTGGATAAAGATATCATGCTGACCCACCCAGCTGGGGAGAAGGGAGCGGCGGATGCAGTCCTCCGCTTCCCTGCCTCGAGGGAGGGGAAGGGGACGGGGCGGATGGTGGCCGACCTGTACAGGCCAGCTCAGAATCAAAACACCTCACCACCTGGGGGCTCCGACTCGTCTGTCGAATCCACGAGCGCAGTGCGCTCGCCGAGGCGCTATCTACCCTGTGGGGAGCTCGGAATCCAGCAAGCCGAACGAGGCCAGGACTGACGCCCGAGAGGGGAAGGAGAGAGACAGGGGAGGGGGAGAGGAGAGGGATGAGGAGAGGGCAGGAGGACGGGGATGAAGGGGAACTGGGACACACAAATGAATATACACAAATAAAAATATCCCCCATATTTTCCCATATTTTCTGGGCTTTTGTCTTCCCCCCCACTTCCCATATTTTCGCATATTTCCCTGGGGATCGACGATTAATTGTGTCTGTGTTTTTTCCCCTCCTGAGGGGAGGGAGGATGAAAGGAGGTGGGAAGAAGGGGTTGGGGCCAACACGCCGATGCCCCGACTTCCTCACCAACCTGGACCCCGCCAAATCTGGACCGCTTTCGCGGGACCGGCGTTCCATCCTGAGGCGCTCTTTTTGACGGCCCCGGGGCCCGGCGAGGATGCCCAGAGGACGCAAACGACCAAAACCTTCGACCACATGCTTGCTTCACGACGCGAGGTCTGGCGAGCGGGGAGCGGGGAAGGGAGGGAGTGACTCCCGAGAGCCGACGCCGCGGAGAAGCACAGCACCGTGAGAAACCACGACCGAACCCCTGCCCCAAGTTCTTTCTGCGGCGCCTCCCTCTCGAGCCAGACCGATGCGTGAGGGCCCCAGGGCCCACAGAGTGGGGCGGCAGCGCCTGGCGCGACACAGAACGCGACGCCGGGCTGTCGGTGGAGGAGGATCCGTCGGCAGGCACGCCGGACCGGGCCACATCGGCACGGAGCCCACCGTCGAATCGGATCGGCCGCGCCGCGGGATGCACCACAGCGCCCCCGCGAGCATCGAGCGGCACTCCAGTGCCGATATGTAGAGCCTCGGCGGCGCGCACAGAGGGGGGCAGGGGAGGGGTCGAAGGCCTCTTGGAATGGAAGGCTGCTTCTGAACGGGCGCCGTTGGAGGCCCGGAAATGGGCACCAACACCAAGACATGGGGCTGCCGCCACAGGGGGGGAGACGATCCTCGATTTCGGCGTTGGTGGTAACAGTTCGGTCACCCTGGAAGCCAGAATATGACCACCATCACCGAGATCGGGATCTTCTTCCCACGCTGGAGGAACGCCGCCGATATAAGTGTTGGTGTCAACCTCTAGCCGACTGCTACCTTCACAGACAAGGCCCGCGCCTTCTGAGAAGCAGGGGTGCTTCCAAGAAGCCTTCCCCCCTCCCCATCCCCCCTCCTCGTGTGGCCGACCGAAACCGCTACTCCTAAGTCGGGCCTGTCCCCCTACAGGGGGGTTTTGGATGAAAAATCCCACCAGCCCTCCAGGCGTCGGTGGTTTAGAGCGTTTCCTCTTCCACCCCTCCCTCTTCCCCTTCGGGGAGGGGTTTACCCCTCCCCCTACCCCCTCCCCGTGGACCTGGACGGGAGGGGCGGGGAGATGCCAGAGCGTCCAAAACGGCATCGGCGAGGAAGCCAAAATCATTGATTTGACTATGGTTTTGGCTCCATTTTGGCCTCCTGGGGGGGGGGGCAACCCTAATTAATGCTCCGCTATTCTTTGATAGATCTCCTCCAAGATGGCACAAAGAAGCGCCCAGGAGGCCCCAAGAGGTCCCAAGATGGCCCCAAGATGGCCCCAAGAGGCCCCCAAGAGGCCCCCAGGAGGCCCCCAAGAAGACCCTCAGCGACCCCAAGAGGCCCCCCCGAGGCACCCAAGACCCCGAAGAGCCCCCCAGGATCGCCAAGAGACCCCCAAGACGTCCCGAGAGGCCACCAAGAATCGCCCAAGAGATACCCCAAGAGGCTCCGAGAGGCATCCAAGAGACCTCTGGCCCTTGTGCTTGCCCTCCTCCTCCTCCTCCTGTTCCTCCTGCCTGCTCCTCCTCCTCCTTCTCTTCCTCCTCTTCCTCCTCCTCCGCCTCCTCCTCATCCTATTCATCCTCCTTCTTCCCACTCCCTCATCCATCCATCCATCCACCTCCTCCTTCTCCTCCTCACTCCTTTGCACGGTTCGGCCGTCCTCCTCTTTGCTGCCGCACTTTCCTGATCACCTCAACTCGCCTGGACATCGTTTCTGGATGGGCTGATGGGGATACAAACAAATAATCAAAAAATGGTCCCCATACATGTTTTTACTATTTTTGAATATTCCCCCTGTAGAGGGACGCGCCCGACTCAACGCTACTCCACGGCCCTCTCCAGGGGTGCTCTCCGACCAGAACCTGAATCTCGAGGCGAACCCGGCCGTGACGGCAAGGCAAGTGAGGGGTAGCGATACCGGCACCCGAGCGGCGAAACAGGAGCGGGCCTGACGCGGGATGGCATGGCGGCCTCACGCGGCGGCTTGCACGGGCAAGCCGGCGCGGCGCGCTGCACTGGCAACGAGGGCGCTCAGGCGCGACCTTTAGGCGGGCAGCTTGCGCTCGGCGGCGAGCAGGGGGGAGAAACGGGAAGGGGCGGGCCTCCTCTCGGGCGGGTGGTCATGGGGGTGACCAAACGGGGGGGTGAAGGAACAGGCCCTAATGGGGCCCTTTACGGCCCCTGTTGGAGCCAGATGGTGCCCAAAAGGGGCCCTGAAGGGCCCCTGTAGGGTCCATTTCTTCACCCCCATTTTGGGTCACCCCCCATTACCACCCGCCTGGTTCTCCGAAGGCTCGGAAGCCCCCCGGACTTCTGAGAAGTTTTCTCGGCCTTCCCCGAAGACGCAGAGATGTTCTCAGAAGGCGCGAGGGCTCCCGAGAAGTCCCGCCGCCTTCTGAGAAAAGGCCTTCTCCCTCTCCCTTCCCCCTCGCTCGCCGCCGATCCGCGCCCATGCCCGCTCAGACGAACCCCCATCGTTGAGTCGCTCACCTGCTCCTCTTCTGAGGAGTGTCGGAACACCGGAACCGAACCTCCTCGGACCAGCCGAAGCCGAGGCCGCATCGGGCGGGTCGCAAGAGGGGGAGGCGCGCCTCCCCCAGCTGCCCTTCCACGGCCGCCCTGGCTTCCTCCACAGGGGCCCAGAGATACGCACCACCACCACCACCACCACCACCACCACCACCACCACAACCACCACCACCACCTCCCTCGCCCTCTCCCCTCCCAGGATTTCTGGGAGGAGCAGAGGGCGAGGGGCTGGGGAGGAGGAGGAGGGAGGAGGGGATGAGGAGGGAGGATGAGGAAGGAGCGGGTGGGAGGTGGTGGTGGGTAGGGGATAAGGAATGGAGGAGGAGGGGAGAAGGGGAGCAGGGGAGGGGGAGGGGGAGGGGAAGAGGAGGGAGGGGAATGGTGGTGGTGGTGGTGGTGATGGTGGACGTGGTGGTTCTGGTGGTGGTGGGGTGGTGTGGTGGTGGTGGTGGTGGTGGTGGTGGTGGTGGTGGTGGTGTGGTGGTGGTGGTGGTGGTGGTGGTGGTGGTGGTGGTGGTGGTGGGTGGTGGGTGGTGGTGGCGGTGGCGGCGGCGCGCCGGCGGCGAGGTGATTGTGGTGGTGGTGGTGGTGGTGGTGGTGGTGACGGTGGTGGTGGTGGTGGTGGTGGTGGTGGCGGTGGTGGGGTGGTGGTGGCGGTGGTGGGCGTGGTGGTGTTGGTGGTGGTGGTTTTGGGCAGTGGCGGCGGCGCGCCGGCGGCGGAGGTGATTGTGGTGGTGGTGGTGGTGGCGGTGGGTGGTGGTGGTGGCGGTGGTGGTGGTGGTAGCGGTGGCGGTGGCGGCGGCGGGGAGGTGATTGTGGTGGTGGTGGTGGAGGAGGTGGTGGTGGTGGTGGTGGTGGTGGTGGGTGGTGGTGGTGGTGGTGGTGGTGGTGGTGGTGGTGGTGGTTGTGGTGGTGGTGGTGGTGGTGAGTGGTGGTGGTGTGGTGGTGGTGGTGGTGGTGTGGTGGTGTGGTGGTGGTGGTGGTGGTGGTGGTGGTGGTGGTGGTGGTGGGGTGGTGGTGTGGTGGTGGTGGTGGTGTGGTGGGGGGTGGTGGTGGTGGTGGTTGTGGTGGTGGTGGTGGTGGTGGGTGGTGGTGGTGGTGGTGGTGGTGGTGGTGGTGGTGGGTGGTGGTGGTGGTGGTGGTGGTGGTGGTGGGTGGTGGTGGTGGTGGTGGTGGGTGGTGGTGGTGTGGTGGTGGTGGTGGTGGCGGCGGCGGCGGCGGCGGAGGTGGTGGTGGTGGTGGTGGTGGTGGCGGTGGTGGTCGTGCATATTCTTGGGCACGCACGATCCTCGGCGGCGCCGGCCCCGCCGGCGGCCGCCCGCGACCAGCCCTCCAGGACGTCGCGGGCCAGGCGCTCCGAATCGCCCCAGTGCCTGGGCTGTTGGGGGTGGGCGGCAGCCGGGGTGAACGGTTTCTTATTCGGCGTCTCGACAGCGGGCGGAAGGGGGGGAGGGAGGGGGGGGGGGCGTCTGGCTCTAGACCTTTGCTTAGCGCAACTGTTTGCAGCTGTGCGCCCTCTGGGGAGACTCCAACTGCTCGAAACAGGCGCCAAAAACAGCCAAAATCTACTCCAAGGGGGAGGGGGGGAGCGGGGGGAGTGCAAGGGCCCGCGCCGATCGGCAAAACAATCAATACAAAACGATCACCGACGGGATGGCTGCTTCGAGGCGGCCGCGTTTCCTGGATCTCGGCCTCTGCGGCCAATTCGAAGCGAAACACCACTGCACACAAGAAAAAAGGGTCGGTGCCTCTAGAATCACGCATTGAAAAGAACAAACATAATACATGAAGACAGAACAACAAAAAAGTCCAACGTCTGGCAGGGGAGACAGCAACGCATTGAGACCTCTCCCCCCTCCCTCTCCCCCCGTCGGCGTCGGCCGAAGAGGATAGGCGAGGTCCCTAGACGAACCGATCCGCACAATTGGAGGGAAAGCGGGAGGGAGACGCTTAGGAGGAGGATCGGGCGGGGCGGGAGAGAGGACCCTGAGACGCCGACGATAGTTCAAGATAGTTTCTGGCCTACCTCCAAAGAGGCCCGACGAGGGCCACAAGACAAGTCCAAGTGCTCTCGGAGCCCCCTCAGGACCCGCCCGACAAACCAGAATCCTTCAGAACCACTGGAAAATCCATGATGTGTGGCTTTTCGCCTTTTCGCCACCGATGCGCTTTGAGGTCTCAAAATTGTCCCAAGATAACCCTGGAGAGGCCCAAAAGGCCCCTCAGACGGCCCCATCCAAGAGCGCCCAAGAGCGGCCCAAGAGAACCCCAAGAGGCGATTTTGATGGCCCCAAGGGGGTGTACCAAATGTTACGACCACCTCTCTTGTCACCTACGCTCTCCACGATAGCCCCAAGAGACCTTCCACGGCTCCCCAACAGGCCCCAAAGAGAGCCCCATGAGGGCCCCAAGAGGGCCCCAACACCAACCAAAAGAGCCTCAAGAGGACCCCAAAATCCCCCAAAAGACTCCCAGGAGGGTCCCAAAGGCAATTTGAAGGCTCTGCCCTCGTCCTCGTTGTCCTCCTCCTCCTCCTCCTTTTCCTCCTCCTCCTCTTCCTCCTCCTCCTCCTCCTCTTCCTCCTCCTCCTCCCCCTTCTCCTCCGTCAAGGCCCCGACGCGGGCCCCAGGGATAGCCCGAAGAGGCCCTCCAAGGCCAAGCCGTTGCTCCCAGAGGGCTCTCTGTCCACCCTGGTTGCCAACCTGTTTTATTGCATGTGCCTCTTCATCCCTCTTCCGTCCACTCTCATGGGCAAGGTTTCCGAATGGGCTGGTGGGGATACCTTTTTTGGGTCAACGGCCTCGTGAACCAGGTCAAAAGGCGTCCAAACTCTAGCCAGGCGGCTGGTGGGGATATTTTTTGGTCGCGGCCGCAAGCGAAAGCGCAGGCGGCGAGCAAGGTGCCCGGGCCAACGGGCAAGCCTAATTTAATTAGCTGCAAGGCGCAGCACGAGCCGGCCGGGCCAGCCCTCAGAGGCAGCAGCTGCGGCAGCGGCAGCGGGGGGCTGACTGGCTGAACTGCAAGGCCCAGGGAAGCTCGAGCATCATGCAAACCTGTGGCAAAGTGCCAGGGAATTCTGTGCGCCGCGGCGCCAGTCCACCACGGTGTAGGTGCCATGTCGAGACAGACAGAGAGTGTCCTACACGCACAGTCCGCACAAACACTGTGGCGAGAAAAGGCCAGGTACACACTGGTCATGTCGCCAAAGGGCGCCAAGGGCCAGGGCGAATCGACGGCGTAGACCTGCCTGGTCGGCTGGGACGGGTCGAAGATGGAAGCACAGCGTCCGCCGGAAGGCTGGACCACTCCGAGACGCCACACACGTATCCTGTGGTGGACGCCAGCCCCGAGCAAGTAGCAACGAACTGGCCCGGGAGGCGATGGCACCTGTGGGCCCGGATCATGGTCACGACGTGAGCGTCGTAGAGAACCGCGTATGGCGCGGAGAGCAAGCCTTACTGGCGGGGATGGACGTCGCCAGCGCGGCCGGAAGAGTGGGCACCAGGGGGCGACAGCGCCAGGGGGCGATCACCCACATTGCGATGCAGGGCCACGGGGTCCTTGACAGGCCGCCCTGCCCGTGTGGGACCCTACTGTGGTGGGGGCGGTGGGGACAGACATCACCGGCCGGCCACGTGGAGGGGCCTGCCAGGGACTCCCGGCGCCAGGAGAGAGGAGTGGGAGAGAGGCGGGAGCCAGTGAGCGGCTGACGGCCGCACGGATTCGTATGGAGTACACGCCCAGTGGAGCATGCGGAGGCACTGGGCAGGGAGCCGGTGCCCAGAGCCTGACACCCACTGTGTCAGGGTTATGTTGCCACCGAACATCCCCACTTCCAGGACACTGCACGAGCTGAGCTTCCCATCGGGCAGCACTGTCTACTGTCGTCCTGCGGGTCCCCGTGTCGGTGGCCTGCCGGCATCACTGTACCTGCAACTATGCCCATGTTACCAGGGGTGCAACTGACGGCTGTCAGAGTTTTAACATAAGCCACGGAGCAACTGACGGCTGCTACAAGAGAGTACCGGGACGTTCCACGGAAGCTGTCGCGCTCAGGCCTTGTTCATGGGCCCGTCTGCAGCGCCGGGGAGCTGTCCCACTCCTACCGCCGTCCGACTGCCAGGGGCTGCCGGGATCCCGCCAGGCACCGATGGCGTGGTCAGCCTTTGGACCAGTGCTGGACCCCACCCGAGCCTGCTTCTTGGCAGGGGGGAGTGTCGGCCTCACCGGTTCCGCTCGGGAGGAGCTGCCAGGGGTGCGGCTGACGGCCGCCTGCATTCTTCAAACTAGCTGCTGCAAGGGCGGCCATAGGCATTTACAGTCACGAATCGGGGGCACAAGGGGGTGAGATATGTCGGGCGCCGGGGGGCGGACCCCGCCCGGGCGCCCGAAAGCGGTAGCGTATGGGCTGCGGCGTCCGTGCGTCGTCCACCCGCATCTAACCAGCCGAGGCTGTCTAGCTATGCTGCGCCAGGGGGGGGGGGGGGGGGCGGCCGCCTGCCCCAGCGATAGGCGGCCCCGAGGTATTACGGCCGACGGGCCGGGCGCAGCGAGGTGAAACGGGCCCAATGGCGGGCCAGCGTACACTGACGAGGGGAGCAGATGCGCCGCCAGCCATTACGCGCGGAGCGGGGGGGGGGGTTGGGTGGGTGTGAAGTAAACCCGTGGTCAGCTCCAGTGGCGGCGGGGGGGCCTCAGGGCCTGCCGTTTTGTAGGCCACCTTTTTCCGCAAGAGTCTACTGCGAGGCAACGGCTGACCTTCTCAGAGTCGCTGCCGTGTTGCTTCATGCCCACCAGCGACCTCGCTGTTCGGAGTCGCGGTGGTCGCCCCACTGGGGGGAGCGTTTGCCCCCACCTTTCCATTCGGTGTCGTTCCATGCGGGGTCAATCCCACCAGCCCTTTGGGCGTGAGTGTTTTAGCGAGCTCTCTCTGTTCTCAACCCCCCTTCTTCCCCTTCGGGGAGGGGTTTACCCCTCCCCCTACCCCCTCCCCCTGGGCCTGGAGAGGTCGTTCCGCGGGTCGTCAGGGGGGTCATTTTCGACTCCTGGGAGGGCTAAAAAACGACACCCCTCACGAGGATTCTGGCCCCGACGGGGGGAGGGAGAAAAAATGTTTTCCTCTTCTTTGAAGCCAAAATCATTGATTTTACTACGGTTTTGGCCCCATTTTGGCCTTCTGAGGGGGCAGCGCTCATTACAGCTCCCCTCTTCTTCCAAGGCAGAATCATTGACTTTACGAAGGTTTTGGGCCCATTTTGCCCTTCTGAGGGGGCAGCGCTAACTAAAGCTCCCTTCTTCTGTGATCGATTTCCTCCAGGATGGCCCCAATAAGCGCCCAGGAGGCACCAAGAGGCCCCAAGATGGCCCCAAGAGGCCCCAGGAGGCTCCCAAGAGGATCCCAAACGGCCCAAAGAGGCCCCCCCGAGGCACCCAAGACGCCGAAAAGCCCATCAGGACGACCCTCTACTCGCCTGGGCGTCGTTTCTGGACGGGCAGGAGGAGGGGCCCGAACGACTCACACCAGGACGAGGGGCCCGAACAACTCACACCACGAGAAGCCCGAACGACTCACACCAGGACGAAGAGCCCGAACGACTCACACCACGAAGAGCCCGAACGACTCACACCAGGAAGAAGGGCCCGAACGACTCACACCAGGACGAGAAGCCCGAACGACTCAAACCACGAGGAGCGCTTTCTCTCCCTCCTCCTCCGCCTCGTCCTTCTCCCGCTGCCTCCACAAGGAGGATGTACAAGGAGGCGGGAGGAAGGAGGAACAAGGGAGATATGCGGGGCCAAGCGGACACACGCCTGAAAAAAACACGACTGTCGGCATGCTTCGCAAGAGTTGCTGTTGTGAGATGGACTGGTGGGGATACGCGAAGCGTAAGGAATTTTGCCCCATGTTGACCAGCCCTGCCAGCCGTGCCATTGGTCGGAGCTGGTGGGGATACGTTTTTGATTAGCGGCCCACAAGGAAAAGTCCAAAGGGCGGTATGACCGAGGCTGGGGCGCAGCGCAAGATAATTAGCGCGAGAACGCGCGGAATGCACCTGCAAAACAAATTAGGAAGAGAGGCAGCCACAATTGGGCAACCAACGAACACAGGACCCGCTGGTGGAAGCCGGACCGGAACCCTGCCAGAAGGGTACACGCAGACCCCCCAAGCAAAAAACCGCTGGGCGAATGCCAGCGGAAGCGAAGCAGCCACAGGTGGGCAACCACAGAACACAGGCCGGACCCGCAGGTGGAGTACCGACCGGCATCCGGAAGAGAGAGAGCGGAGCCAGGTGGCGCGAGCGACACAAACGGCCCGCGACCTAACAGAGTCGACGGGGCAGAAACAGAGCGCAGGAGAGGCGGAAGCGCGGCG